ACTGTTTCCGCGGACCTCCCAGATAGTCGCTATAGTGAGTTCTCTCGTAATTTCGCGAGAAACAGGTCTCATTATCAGGCGAAGCACGATGGTTGGTGCAGGTTGCTGACGACAACGTTGTTGTGGCGACTAACGATGAAGCCTTTCCGGGCTTTGAGTTGGTCGGAACTCTGCCTTTTTCGGTGGTGCCAGGCTCGCAAACGCCAGGAGCTGAGATTCCGTTGAGAGTAAGGACCCCGGTGAGCCCGCGAAGAGCTACTTAATGTTGGTATGTTGGAGTTTTAGTGATATGGAAAGCAGCAGTGAAAAACATATTTCACTTCACGTGAAATGGGTGCTTTAAGTGAAGTGGCGCAATACTCTGTGAAAAACTCAATATTTGCGCGCTATGCAGTAGTCGTGAAATATGTTTTTCACCAGTGTTTTTCATTTCACGGGTGGAACTCCATTATAGGAATTTCCGAAAAGTGCCTTAGACCGAATCGTATTTCTTGTATTTCTATTGGAATTTCAACTTTAGGTTTCCTTTCACCTGAGCGCCATGCTGATCGGCGAGAACTATGTGTCGTTGGAAATAACGGCTCCCAGGGGGTTTAGGTTTTCTATCGGAAGCTCTTGCGTGACGAACTCCTCTACAGAGGATCAGTGGTCGGTTTTAACGACTGCAACGGCGATGAGAATGTCGCTACGCTCACTACAGCAACGAATGTATTGAATGCAGGTAGGCAATTTTGTGGCGCGCGAAATAGTAATCCTGTTTTGCTTAGTATTAACGAGCAAGACTCGATCCGGTGTGAACAGTATTGGAATATATGTTGTGAAATATGTTTTTCATATCACGTATGGAACTCCAATACAGAGAATATTGCTTGTCGTATTACAGGTCAAACGATTATCGATATGGTGTGTGTGAATCCTGATGCTACACCGATTCACAATTCCTGCCGACTAGCTCTCTATCTCGACTCTAACATTTCCCATTACTGCTACATTCAGATCATCGAGGATGGGTATGAAATCAAAGCGATGGAGGCACAGTAAGGAGATTATCAATGTTTCGATCGGCGAAAGCGAAATTACTTGTTGGCAGGTTTCTGGGCAGTAACCGTCTTGGCGTGAGCGCTCCGGGATTTTTTTCACATTCGTGTCTTCCCAGGAAATCGTTGATTCTATTCAAATCGACATAGTGAGTTCAACTTTGTCTACACTTTTCTGTGCAAGCAGTGTTGGATGAATATGTGTTCGCTCTCCTCAGCTGAGTTCAAGAGTTTGTCCACTTATTATAGAAGTTTATATACAAATTGTGACAGAAGTGTACATAAAACACTGAGGATTTCCCAAAATTTTCGCAGAATATTCATATTGTCACCAACACATGTGGCTATTTTTTCGCATTTTGTGCAAGTTTTTCAAGTTAACGAACAACCTGAGTGGCAGAGTTACATGCACGGAAAAGATGACGATCAGTTGTACTTGTTTCAATACTCGTTCAAGTGCTCGTTGTAATTGAAGACTCAGTCTTATTGCAGACACCCCCGGTCGGGTATGAACTGAAGTGTAGTACACTTAGTGTACGCCGTCGTACAGTGTCGGTCTGTTGACGCCTCCTCAATGCGAGGAACAGATCGACACTGCGGGGTCAGCCATCAAGCTTCAGTTTTCTGAGATGCCCATCGATCAAGGGATGTAGAGTCCAGCCGGGTTCGATCCTCGGCTAGGTTACTTTTTTTAGAGGCTTCACTGTGGCTATTGAGATCGTCAACCCCGGTGCTCCTCTCACACCAGACCCTGATACTGGCATCAGTAGGAATACTTTCGCGCTGATACTTCGTGACACCCGTTCACCCGTTTTACGTGAAGTGGCATAATATTATAAAGGCAACATCATCGACGCTAATATGGCGGTCCCAGGCACGGTGAGTTCAAAGAGAATCGCTTCATAATAATACTGTTACGAGGGGAAGCTATCGCAGCAGAGGAGTACAATTGTCGAGACATAGCCAGAATCAATTCCCCTTCCCCCAGTTTGGTCGGAATTCAGTACTTATGAATGCTGTGTTTGAGGTCTCGACTATTTGAGGATATCGACGCCTGTTTGCTGGGACGCGTCATTATTAGTAAGAGCGGCATCCACAATAACAAACAAAGAACTGAGGTCGCTATATGAGCTTTGAAGAAATCGAGAATCTGGCAGAGTTGATGATTACTTTACTGTGTTATGGGGTGTTCCCTCAGGATCTGACCAACGTCCCAATCATTGGTTCCGCCCTAGCATGGGATGCTGTAGAAGCTCAGAGCATCTCGAAAGTTCAAATAGTCCTAAAGGTTAGCCAAGATATGCAACCTGAAGAGGTGCTCGAAATACATGTAAGATGCCGTTGACTCTTCACAGTTGAGATTTTCTGTATCGATCAGGTCGAGGCGCCCCACGACGTGGCAATGACCGCTCCATCCAACGTCGTATTGTCCGACAACATCCCCGTATCGGATGTGGCTCCGGTGAGTGCCTTATTGAGCTTTGGTGTGGAGAAGTATACACATAGTCAACTAGACGTGTAGGTGATACTTGTGAAATTTCTGAGAAATATTGATGAAATTCGCATTGGTTTCTGTACATTTACATCCGAATTTGTATGTGAACATGTATAGTTAGTGAGAAACCTCTTCTGAGCTCAGCTGAAGAAAGCGAACATATATTCCTACTCCAACACTGTATAGGAAACTCCTGAGCTCAGCTGAAGGAAGCGAACATATATTCCTACTCCAACACTGTATAGGAAACTCCTGAGCTCAGCTGACGAAAGCGAACATATATTCCTACTCCAACACTGTATAGGAAACTCCTGAGCTCAGCTGAGGAAAGCGAACATATATTCCCACTCCTACACTGTATAGGAAATTCCTGAGCTCAGCTGAGGAAAGCGAACATATATTCCCACTCCTACACTGTATAGGAAACTCCTGAGCTCAGCTGAGGAAAGCGAACATATATTCCCACTCCTACACTGTATAGGAAACTCCTGAGCTCAGCTGAGGGAAGCGAACATATATTCCTACTCCTACACTGTATAGGAAACTCCTGAGTTCAGCTGAGGGAAGCGAACATATATTCTAAGATTGCCGAGCTGTTCGTACGTTACTTTTTTTCTCAGGTATCAGTAGCCGGAAATCGCCTCATTATTCGTCTTATGAGAGCATCACTGAGTCTAGGACAAGTAACAGAAGTTGAAGGTCTCCGCGAGGGAACGGTGAGAGACCTGTTTGTCCTGTGTTCGTGTAGCATGGTTGCTCAGGTGATCATTGATTTCTCGGTGAAAAATCCATTACAGCTGCCGAACGCGAACTTCTGGGTTGTTAAAATGCTAGGCGAGGATTGGCTTTTGGTACCAATTTCAGCACGTTTTTGAAGGGTATTCACTGAGCTAAATACTCCGTTTCCGGACGATTTCGCTCACTTCAGGTATCGATTCGGGGAGGAATCAGCAGTTCCTTATGCCTCTATTGGTCCTTCGGGGCCGACTGCTGAAGCCCCATCGATGATCTATCATTTACCAACTTACCACATATCTCCTTTTTTAGTCTTGTCATGCATGGTAATCATTGTTTATTGGTGAGCAGAGCCAATCAGTGTATCATTGTAATGGTGTTGGACAATCATTGATTTGTGTTCCACAAAGTGTCGAAGTTGGATGGAATAACTGCGACATACCAAGTTGAATGTCGTCTTTGATATATAAGACTGCTGAACGCTATGTTGAGTTTGGCTGACTCAACTGTGTTAACTGCTGCACACTCTAGCTGAAATAAGCTATTGATAACCGGCTATGCTGTATATATATCCTATGACCTGTTACACCTTAGGGAAGTGTAATACGGTCGGGTGTGGATCTAAAGTGGCATTTCTCACTACCCTTTCAGATGGTGTCTTTCTAACCATCATCATCTACGCAATCATTAGGCTGTCCATCGAGATGATGAACACTGTTCATCCTCCCGATGGACACCATAACCTAGAAGCCTCCTTAGCCTGCTATTGGTCAGTCCACAAATTCAAACAGTACTAGTGCTGGTCACGGGACCACGAGTTGAAACAATCGTAGTGCTGTTCACGGGACCACTAGTTCAAACAGTAGTAGCGTTAGTCACAAAACCACGAGTTGAAACAGTAGCAGCGTTAGTCATAGGACCACGTGTTGAAACAGTAGTAAGCTGAGCTTACTAAGCTCTTGTAGTCTCCTAGGTAGTAGTAATGCTACTACCTAGGTAGAGCAGGTACCTGATGTTCGCCTTCACAAGGTGATTGACTACACACTCAACGAGCCAACAGGGTCGGTCAAGAGAAGCATCAGGTTACACATGTGTCGCGCCCACCAGAATCTGATCGGCTATGAACACGTAGAGAATCATCATGGGATTCATCCACTCGCATCTTCTGCCATTTTCGTCTCAAAGCCTTCGTAGTTCGACCTCGGAAGCTGATGAATTGATCGTGAAGACTCTGGCATCTGCGATTAGCGATCAAATGCCTCACTTAAAGTCGCTGGAAGCGGAGATTTTCTTGAAATCTGTACCAAACTGCGTGACAGCGCGTCGGAGCTGATTGATCTCGTCTACCTGAGACGAATGAAGAGTTTTCCCGGTATTGACCTGACAGCGGTCTTACACTCCAAGGGTCGCGACTCGACCTTTTATGGCTCAGTTGACTCGCATCTAAGGAGTCTTCAGCTTCACCACCGGCGGAGTCATCTAACACGGATGAGAGGGAGCTCTCATCTTCGACAGAGGAGAGATCTTCACGAGAACCTTGGGATGCACCCGGATAAGCCGAGCCAGCACCACTGAAACGACGTTATTACAGAAACTGCCGAGAATCGTTCGATGACGTTACCCATTCTGCAGTATCCATTCACCAATGCACATGCAAGTACAGTCTGTGATATGGTGACTCGGCGAGGAGTCCGCGATTTGGGGAAGACGCTCCTCAATATAGTTGAGGAATGGAGATCCTGCACTGAAGTAGGGGCATATAGTGCAACACGAAATACGCACTTAGACTAGCAGAGCCTGAGCGTTGTTTTTTCCTCACTGGCTCCTCTCCTTCTTCTGACTCATTCCCCTTCCTAGAAGACGAACGGACCGGCTGGAGCTGCTGATGAGGAGCGCCACCAGACAGTCGTTACCCAGTCATGATCTTCCATTCAAGAACTGGTATGCTTGCCAAATCCCGTTTAGATATTCCTGGTGACTCAAACTTACTGGCGATGATGGTCGAAAGAGAGGGAAGGCGGTTCATGTAGAAGATTTGGAACTGAGTATCTGTAAAAGGAAACACAGACGTGCATGAGTCTGGCCTGATTCTACTGCTCTACATTACCTCCATTCATTTTCATCCCTCCACTGGTAGTGGTGTCGGCTTTCCTCGGAGGCATGGCAGTGGTAAAATACAAGCGTCTGAGGCTCAGACTCTGAGCCCATATGATATTGTCATTCAAGGTGTCCTTATCCCGGCCCAGCAAGCCCAGCTTTTCAACTGTTGAAATTCAACGTGAAGTCACACTAATAACAAGGCTTGGTCGTACCAACCCGTCGCTACAATATGAGAGTTGAGGCAAGTTCCAGTCTCATTTTCATCCCTCGTTCCAGACTGCTCGAGAAATCAACTACATCTTTTAAACATCCAGTTCGATTTTGGAACCATCAATTTCGTTCGGATGCGCGAACTTGGAGGTGCGAATCCGAAACGGGAAGATCATATTCGCAATCAGAACTTTCAACTTGGTCATAGAACATTCAAGCTCATCCGAAGTCGATAGGAAATTCAAATGAGTGTTAATAAAACTTTCAATTTCGACTTTTGAACCTCCGAATTCGTCATAGGACTTTCAGTCGAGTACACCTTCGGAACTTTAATTTCGTCCCTTTTTCGGAACTTCGATTTCGTGTCCGAGAGGCAATCATGGCCAGTACTCTCATGGTTAGACTCGTGTTATGTTAACCGTGTCGCTCGTTCGTAGGCATCATGCATAACCAAGCCCCTGAGACACCCATCCATACGACCGCTGCTCCCGTTCACCCCATCATATCTCCTGGCCACGTTCCTGTCCATGCTGTCGCCGCTATCGGTTCCGCTACTCCACAAATCGGGGATCCCACTATAGGAAAGCAGCCTCTTCTAATCCTTACGCGTACTATACGAATGGCGCTTAAAATATGAGAGAATCCTATCACGGGTTAAATTCCAATATCGTTCCCATGGCAACGTGAGAAAGCTGTGACTACTATCGTGATGGATCTTTACGGATTCACCCCTCCCTCTAGCCTGTGGATTTATAGTGCTTTGTGATTCGGTGAATGGGTGAGTGGATAAATGGTGTAATGATTAGTTTTAGTGGTTGGTATTCAATCGATCCAGGTTCGAATTGGTGTGGAAGTGATTTTATTTCTTTCTCAGGGCGAATATCGACCAGCTGCCTCACATGATGGAGAGGTGTGGGAGAGGAAGAGGAGTTGGTCCTGGACAATCGCAATGCAATGCTTATTGCATTTTCCAGCCCAACCGAGATCTCGTTTACTTCTCTCCCAGTCATCATTTCTATTCTCACGGTGATTGCTCGCATGCGGAAAAGGTGCTTGAAAAGAGTATTATGCCAGGCGGCGACGGCCCCGAGCATTGATGAGGTTGGCTGATTTTACCGGCATTATCGATCCTGTGTTTTTAGATATATGAGAGAGTATGATTTCGAGAGGCTCCGCGAGATGAAGCCTAATCTGATGATAGCAGCTATCCGTTGAGGAATGTCTCGCACTATATACACATTTTCATATACACATGAACCATGCTGTGATTTCTCGTCTTATTCCAGCGTGTCTTGTTCGAGCGGAGCTGCTTGTTCGAGGAACTGGGAAAAAAGGCGGAGCGGAGCTGCTGATCCGGAGAGATTGGAGATTATACTGGACGATATAGAAAGCACGATTCCCACTTTTTATCGTTTCAATGACTTCAGCAAGTGCCATGAGATATACGCTAATGCATCTGTGAACGCCCGGCTGAGGAACGCGAGTACGAAACATGTCGAAGTATGTCTACAGTGACATTGCCTTACCCACGAATCCCGCGAGGAAATGTGAACTACATGTGTAGTTGACAATATACAGGTTTGTGAGGAAATTTTCATTGGTTAATGTACATTTCTACCCGAATTCGTCTATAAACTTGTATAATTAATGAGGAACCCTCTGAGATCAGTCTAGATAAGCCAACTATATATTCCCACACTGAGTCCGACTCCTTACAACGACTTTCTGGTGTGAATTCACCTCGTTTAGTTTAGTCATCTCGATCGCTTCGGCGAATCGGAATCATCCTCCCAAGGGAGATGAGGGTACCATCCAGCTTTGAGTATTGATGGTACCCAGGTTTTGATAACAACGGAAAAATGATGTTCCTAATGCGATGATGACATCTACATGGGAAACTCATTGAAGAATGTGTTCCTAGGCATGTGGGAAATTCAAAATGGGGCCCTCCTGGGAACATCATAGTTCCGGTCCGGAATTACTGCCAGGTAAGCTTAACGCTCACTGAACGTTATCAATTCCTCCGGAGCGCAAACAGAACGCGGTACAGGTTACGATTCGAATCGGGTCCATCACCAATGCATTGTATCAGAGTGTGGCGTGCGTTCGGCCCATTATTGTTTCGCGCACGCCAGATATTCGCTCTGAGACGTTCCAAGAATCGTCATTATTGGATAGTTCATCGAGTCATTGCTCATGTGCCTGGTGGGATAACTGAGTTATCTCACCTGACACATGAGCAATTCTACCAAGCACATTCTACCGAGATCCTCATTTTGCCGACCCAGCCCAACAACATGCACGCACAGCGCGAGCGTCTGAATTTAAATATGACTCGTAGACGGTCGTTTCTCTGACTATCCTGGAAACCAGCTCTTGCAGTTATCGTAAATTATCGTACGGGGAGCAGCTGTGTGATGCAGATCCACCTGTTGAGTTAACGACTTGCGCATCTTCCACTGATAATATGCAACGGATCGGGTGAACGACAGCCGATCGCCATTTGAGAATCCACGAATCGTGAACGTAGACCACGATGGACATCAATTGTAAGTCCCGCTTCAGTACGGACTTCTCTCATCGTCATTGACTTGCGAATGCCAACGTCATCATCTGGCTCGGAACCTTTGGAGAACTCGCTAGAGTACAATTTTAGGCAGCTCGAGGCTGCGACTAATGCATTCGATAAGAGGGGCCTGCTGGGTAACGATTGAGTGTCACGACTGATTTTCAATTTTCGCTTTGACATACTGTCAGTATCCCTGATGGAAGTTTCATAATGGAACAGGCACAGAAAAATGCCGCGCCTTGAGATAGCGCGAGGTTGCCGCCACCTATGAGTTGAAAATAAAACGGAATGAATTGACGTGTTCGTTCAAACAAAATAATTTCGCCGAGTGCTATTAAGATAATATTCAATGCTGATCGATGTTTACATCGGTTCTAAGCCAAATCCATTCATGACGAATGTACAGGTCAGGAATGGGGGCCTCCCATCAGGTGAAGGAAGCTTCGGCGCTGTATTTCGAGGTCGTCTTAAAGACGGAACAGGGGTAAAGCACACATATCTGTTATTTTGTATCCTCGTTCCTTTAAGCTATGTTGATCAGCAATGCTGAATCAACATTGCCGACGGCATTTGCATTAGAGATGCCCATTCTCCAGGCTGTTGGCGTTACCGGGAGATAGTTGCGTTACTCTTCAGATTGCCGTGAAGGTCTTACCCTCCGTCCAAGGATCCGGATTCGCGGAAGAAATCAAGGTAACCTCCCGGAATATGAACTCCATACAGTGTGACATGTGGATCCAGACTCTGACCGCAAAATTCTATCATATCCTGCATCCGATCGAGTCGACCGAGGACGGTCAGCCAGTCCCATACAGGTTCTTTCCCGATTCCGTCACCCGAATCTCGTTATGCTTATGGGTTTCGCGCGATTGGACCGAAAAGGCTTCCTGGTTTACGAATTATTAGAAGGAGGTAGGGGTGTCATACTCTTCGACGGAATGGGTCCGTATTATAGTCCAAAATAGACTGAACTCATTATTGGGAAACCATAAAGTATGGCACACCTTCCTCGCAGATATGTGTCACGACTCGTAGGTGACGTCTTCAACCTACTCCACAATCGCGGAAATCACCGAAAAGAACCAATATCCAGGTTGAGAAGATTGAGTATTGCATTAGATGCGAGTCGGGGGCTGAGCCATTTACACAGTTCCTCGCCGAGAGTATTCCACAGGGATATCAAGGTACAAGCGACGACAGAACGGAATGATTTCTCACCTTTGTCGTCGACTTTAGACCGCCAACATCCTGCTAGATCGAAATGGCACTGCGAAAGTGTCCGATTTTGGCCTCGCGTTCGCTGCCCGAGGTGATGCAGAAGAAGGGAATATGAGGGCGTGTTCCGTGGCTGGTATGTTGGAAATGGAACGAGTTCTACTGTATCGTAGCTAATAGTGGTTGTTGGCATTTGATACACTACAGACCATCGATTCGGAATAGGTTTTCTCGTATGCAAGCAGGTACTCCTGCATACGCAGATCCGGAATATTTACGAACACTTGTTTTTAGCGAAGGCACTGAGGCTTACAGGTGAGCTTCACCACGCAAAATGAAAAGTGCTGCACTTCAAGTGCACGGCTGGTCAGTTTTGGGATCGTACTGCTCGAGCTTGTTACCGGAAAACCCCCGACTAGATTCCCACAACAGCTCAATAGTATTATGGATAGGGTAAGCTAACATGCTGGGCTACTTCTCTCACGACGTCAATCTCTTGCTAGTTATCACTCCCAAGCGTCGCCTTCCACGACTCGGAGTCGATGGTTACCGAAATAGCAGATAACAGCGCCAAATGGAATACAGGTGTCGCCAAAAATATGTTGGGGTTGGCATATCGATGCATGTCTAATGAACAAAGCGGTCAGCAGACACGTCCGCGGTTCTACGAGATCGCGCTGGAGCTGAGGCGTCTTGCGGATATTGCTGATGATGTACTATAAATAGTGTTTCATGCAAGTGTGGGTGATTTCGGAACGTTCTTTCTCGTAAACGATTGAGTGTGCCGAGCTGAGACTGTGCCACCGAATGCGCGATGCCATGAAGAACTAATAAACAGAATTTAACGTGTTATTGTGCCGCCCGAGAAGATTCATTCCGTGAGAAGTCTACCAAGGAACACAACATGTATGTCAAATATTTTCGAATGCCCGGAGAGTGGACCCTTCCACCGTTTCGGATAACGTGAGATGATCAGTTCAACGTCATTCTCAACTCATTATGGGCGCCGAACGGAAACTTGGCATGCGCTCAGCGCATTGCGCTGCCAATACGCACGACAGGATCACGCGCTGGAGTCGTCGGTCCAGCCTTCAATCAACGGTTTCAAATTGTTCCGGGAATCGAGCTGAGAATGTCGAGAAAAATCAAGGGGTATCCGAACATTCAAAAAAAATGACCGATCTGTTGTGCCCCTGTGGTCAAACTCTGGCCTTTGGTTTTTTTTCATGGTATTTCGCATTCGGTGGCGAAGTCTCAGTTCGAAACGCTCAGTAGTCTACGGGAAAGAACGTTCCAAAATCATCCATACTTGCATGTGACACCATAAAGAAATATCACTAAAACTCATGTATCGTATATAAACTTATTTCAGGTTGCGTGCTGGGGCAGCGACTTCGATCAATATATCAACTGCGGTCTTAGAGCGAATAGCTTCCTATCTGAGGTGGTTCAGTAGCTTCCATGTTTCAGAAATATCATCGTCCTCCCCCTGCAATTCGACAATTGACGGCATAGACCATGCTTGATCGAACCCAAGCTTGCTACAATGGTGTATTGTGATGCTACTACCACCAATGACTTGAAAATAACCTCAACAAAACCGTGAACAATCCAAATCGACAATTTGTCCAGGTTACATCTAGATTGACTTTATTCATTCCAACACAAAATAATGAAAGGAATGTCAGCCGTACGGCTGTAGACATATAGCGTATACCTTAGACGGTGTATGGATTAAACCTTGCTGAAGCAGGTACGAAACCCAGAACGATTCGACTCCGACGAGCAATCGGCCGGCACCATTATGCAATCGAACGGTATACTGTTCGAGAGAAACCATGCTATCAGGGGCGGTTGTCTTGATGAGACTCCTGACTTCGCAACTAACTTGTGCCCTCGTGTACGTAGCGGTGGATCGAACTTTGAGCTATCAGATGGCTGCCATCTCAAACTATGTTCATCTTGAGGCCAGAGTCGTCCTTTCAGACTGAGGCGATGGCTTCTACGGTCACTGCAGCCGGTGCTTTGGACCCAACCATTCCGATGGGCCATCGCAATGTGGAATCCACATCGGCGATGGCGTCGAAAGACACCAACACGAGCTCCCCACAGTATTTTGAGACGGTAATTCCTGCTGAGTATTATTTCTGATCCTTCGTTGATCGGGCATCATAGTGAGGTTTACCCTGTTACTATTCCATAGTGATGCATGACGCGTCCGTTCGTGAACGACCAGCTCCACAAAGTTACTGCTTTGCATAAGCTACGTCTCGACTTGGTGAATTTGTTGTAGATTGTAACCCTCAGTTACTAATGACCGTAGTGCACAAGATTAAAGCAGGCACAGTAAGTTACCGTCGGTAACCCATACGGGTTGGAGCATAGGGGTTAAGCGTTCCCTGCAACTTCTAATGCTCATATCATACCATAGATAGGCAGAATTACCTTACGGACCGTTACGGTTCACTTTTACGGTTACGCTTCAAGCCCCGTACCGCAAAATTACGGCACCGTAACGGGTCTTACGGAGATGCAGAATACAAAACGAAGATATATCATTCATGTCGCCTAAATCTATTCCATGTAAATGCGATTCCGTGGATGAGGCCAGCTTGGCAGTTCCGGGCCAGCCTGGGAGTAAGACGGACGCAATTTGCAAATGAGACGAGTGGCAAATGCGAAACCAAATGTTACTCTCTCATCGGTTCGGTTGAATCCGAGCCACAAAAAAAACGAGTTTAACAACTATTTGAGCTATCGTGGAGTGCATTACAGTGAATCTCTCTATCACAATTCTAAAAAAAGCAGTTCAGCACCAACCGTAAAGTCGCAAGGCCTTCCCGTAACCGTAAACTGCTCACGTCACGCACGCCGTAACGTAAACCGTAAAAAAACGTTACGCTGCCCATCTATATATCATACCAGTTGAGTATGAATCAGCTTATGCTTTGCAGACTGTCAACATTGCTGGAGAGCTTCCTCCAGACTTGCCACTGGATAGAAGACGAGCAGTAGCAGTCGAGTTGGATAAGCTGAAATCCTGGAGAGCAGCGGAACGGATAAGAGCTAAAAAAGTCATACGCAGAGTGAGAATCCGGTCATCGGCCATCTAGCTGCTGGCGCGTACTCTCAGTAGTCTCTCGCAGTCATCAGTATTGTTTGGTATTTTCAGATGGTCAAATCAGCCAGAAACTCTCATGCCCTGAAGCGCGGCATAGTAGAAATAGTGTCTAAGGGTCGCCCGTACGACTGGTGCCTGGGACGTGCAACCACAGCTCAGCTAGTAGAGATGTTATTACTTCTAAATATTTTAACTTTCTCGCATGGTTCTTTGAGTCTTCCGAGTACTTGAATATCATCATGTTTCTCATGGTGTCCCATCTATGTTTCCCCTTCAAATCCGTTTTCATTCGCGTTCACCGTGTGAACCTCACAGCTAGTGGGACATCGACAGTAGTTGGGTCATCGAGAGACTCGGACACATCAGCAGTGTAACTATACGGGACTTTGGCTAAGGAATGGGAGCCTTATAAGCACTTATGGATAATAGCGCATGATTGGGTACTCGATGAGCCTGAATGGCGTCATGGTCGATTTGATAGTATTGCTTCTGGGGATATGGAGGGCAACGAGGTGGGGATGGTAGGCGAAGAACAACTGCACGGAATCAGCCCTGGTCTCTGCCTTGGAGAAGGCATAAATGCAGTTTATGGACTATATTATGCTCAAGTACATACAGCTCACGAGAGACATACCTCATAAATACTGAAAACAGTCGCGAGTTCGATTCCCGGCCTAAGTGCACTGTACTTCACCAAACTTTGAGACCTTGTAACACACACAAATTCAAAGTTCACGGGTGCTTATCTGGGCGGGCGCTGAGTTTAATGACGTGTGACTTTGCGAATCAGTGCGAGGTACCCCGCCTACTCCGCTAATATTTCGAGTACTGAGTGCAGAGTACTCACTCATGTAGACCGCCCGACCTATCCCATACATACACTGCTTCATATAACGGCACGAGTCTGTCAAATACAATGACGACGAATACGCGGATCGCACAAGAAAGACCAGGGGTTAGACTCGAAATGGTCTTTGAATATGGTGAAGTATGGTTATTGGACCTCCCAATTCGGAAGTTGCGTCTGATGTGTTGGTTGCACTCGCTATTTCGCCAGAACGGTTCTGGCAGAACCGGAATATACCTGGAGACAATATGTATAGGTGATCATCACCCCAACTCTCCGGCAATGGTCGGACAAGCCTTACGATCGTTACTCCCATGCAGGGTTGTTCGGGCTGGAAAGAAAAAATTCTTTCAAGCGGAAATTTCCCGAAATTTCGGGAAAAATAGAAGTGGTTGAAATTTCCGGAATTTTCGGGCGAGGTCGTGGGTTCGATCCGCGGCTCCGCCAGTTTTCCATTCTTCGCTAATCCACGCGCGAGTCCGGAGAGGGAACGTACGGAAGCCCCAAACGGCCCACTCCTCGAATGTTTATGCGCATTGCAAAGAACGACGCAAGACAACTCGTGAGGTACCGATGAATATTGCTACAGGAAGAAGTGACACTAGGGAGCCACTGCTAGTGGCCCACTAGTATTGAAAAAGGGCGTTTCACGCAAGTGTGGGTGATTTCGGGACGTCCTTCCCACCTTTATCCTTAAAGTTGCTGATTAACGTGTGATGGTGTGGCAGACTACCACCGGCAGTCGACCGCTCGCTCTGGGAGTGTCGGAAAGTTGTTGATTTGCTCTTTTTTTGCCAGGATATTACACTGTCGCGGTGCAAACTGCGGCAGTTTGAAACTGCCAACGAACGTGTTTTCGTCGGAAATTTTCCGAGCTTCCCAGTTCTGTGGTTCTCTAAGTTTTTCGAATTCTATGGTTTCTCCTCATTTCTTTTTTCCACCAATGTGGTGGCACGCACGAATGCACGCATATCCAGAGCCTATGGGTATGCGTGCATTGACCGGTATGGGCGCGTGACCTGTGGTCCATGGGTCTTAAGCTCTGAATGACTATCCGCATACATCTCTACTAGGCCATCTTGGACGATTCCTGGTTATGGTATCACCGTTTTGTACGAGAGTCAGTACTGGGTGATGACTCACTAAGTGACTCTCGCAGGAAAAAATCAAGAGTTACACCCACTCTATCTAGACGCTGGACACGCTCTCATTGCTCATATATAGACATAACGAAGCCACTGCCAGCTGATAGTGGAGGATTTCGATGCAGCGGGCGTCGATTCTTAGTACAGTGGTTTATAGAACCGTAAACGCCATGCTCAACCTACGGGTTGCCTACTCAGGGGCGCCACTATCGCGCTGCTGATGGGCCTATGGAATACCGCGCGCAGCGCGGAGCGAAACGATTCATATTGTGCCAAATTTCCGGAAATTTCAGGAAATTTCAACGGAAATTTCGAGGAAAGAATTTGACCCAATTCTTTCCCGATTTGGACAACCCTGCTCCCATGAACTAAACAACGATACGGCATCGCTATGCTGACAGCAATAATCTTATCATATGCATCTTCTTATGTGTTGAATCGTGATAACTGAACGTGATAATTGCAATCTTATATACACCGCTTCAAAAGACCACCCCTGACGCTTACCTAGCCATTACATATCCAAGTTTATGATAAACTGTTTATCCCGAGGTCACGTGTAAACACCAGTGGAACTTCCACTGTGGAAGTGTGTTTTGCTGTTGGTTGATAACCAGCTGGCCACATACTATACATATCTATATACATTATATTCCCCAATACCATGCATGATAATCATCATCATATAAGGAAGGAAACCTGCAAATTGACATCGCCGCAATGAATCGGAGTATATTTACATCTCCTTTAGCTTGAGCAGTTGTGCCCGCTTAAACAATCTAAAGTTTCTCAGTCCTCGATGCAGCCATACTCATCTATAAGACACGAAGAAGCTCAAACCCACACGGGCCGATAGTGGATGGTGAACATTGCTCTGCAAAGTCACGCGTCTCGAAACTCAGCGCACGCCAAGCTTAAACCGTATGAACGTTGTGTGGTCGAAATAGCGCTACTAGAAACCTGGAAGATAACAACCCCGATGTGTATGAATGAACATGGCATGTAGTAACTGAAGTGCCAAGGCATTTACCATGTAATATATGTTCATCATCGCGGTCATTGATGATTTGATTGATGTCAGCACGCTGGTGGTGGCCTGTATAAGGGACAGTGGGTTGATGGTAAAATGTGTGGCAATGGAAAGTACAAATCATGTATCGTCATGCATCGTCTCACCGGGGACGACGATGTTGGTGTGGCAGTTGACCGACCCCGACACTGCTCGTGTGTTCCTCAGTGTTGTTGTGAACAGTTTTACGATAAACGGTTATGCGCCTTGGGAAAAAAAATTGTCCTTGCACGGAAACCTACCTGGAGGGGGGGGGCTTGGTTGATGTGACCGATTCCCTTTATACAAATATATATTTGTCGCATTTAAGTATCCGGTAATCCACTGTTGCCTCGACTGACTGGGCCGAGTATGATTTGCCGGGTCGGGAAATATTGTATCGACTAGCTAGTATGACTGTTCTCTCGCTGTATCTCAGTACTAAATGCGGATTTTTCATGTATTACTGATCGCAGTATTGTGCTAGTCGTCAATTAGTACATCAGCTATCATTGGCGAATCTCGAATACTTAATGGGCACGCCAGAGTGGTATTACAAGCATGGCTGCTTTCTAATTGTGCGTGTTACTTTTTTCTGTGCAGCATGATAGTTCGCCCGTAGTATTTCTTCCTCTCATAGTCTCATCAGCGGCAGGCCAGTGGGTTGTTAGATGTTGTGATATTTCGAGTCTCGAATTTATTGCATGACATTCAAACATGCGCCTCGGTCACCCAAGAAAAAGTATCCGCCATCACCGATGCTGGTACCCTTGCTAAATGTGGGCTTTCCATGTACTACTGATTCACAAATCGTTTTAGTATTGTGCTGACCAGCACGAAGCGAGTCAGCGCGATAATTAACAAATTGCGGATTAACTGATAATGATCAACATCAGATATTGACGACTTTCTAACACGCCCACAAGGCCGAGTGGCAAAGACGTACAGTATACAATGCATGATCAGTGGCCCGGCACTGAGTCACATCATACTGCTCTCAGACTGAGATCAGTGCTCTATACTCGATATGCGGCGAGGACTCCAACGGAAGAAGGGTTGTTATCTACATCATTCCCAGTTAATAAATAACAGTTGGGACAACGCTGTGCAAACTGTAGACTTCAGCCCTTACGGTGACGCCAGTGATGCAAAGATGGTCTTGTAAATTATGTTTGGTTGTCATCTGACTCTGAATTGACAATGCAACAACTTGGGGATCCTAATAATTTAATATCAATATTTGACAACATAACACCAGGTGGTCAATCAATAATCATTTCATGGTAGCTGTATTGCATGTCTATGATTTAGCACACTGCGAATCTCCATCAGAGACAATATAACCCACGAATACTTATGTGACTGATTGACCGGACTGGCGTATCTACTGGCTATGTCTGAAATAAGGTCAGTACAGTCGGTTACGTTTACGTTGGTGCCTCATCGCGCGATCAAGATCCCCCAACGACGCACGACATCTCTGAAAGGGCGTCTTGCACTAGATCCTATCATCACTGACACTAGTAGTAGCTAATGATCCACTAGCCTGCGAGCTCGGTTCTTTGGGATGCGACTGAGAAACAAGATATTGCAGTAGTGTATATGTGAGGCACGAGAGTAACATACCTGTGATGAGTTCGGCGGATAATCTAGGGCATACTCACATACTCTCACAGGAGTAACGTCTCGTGGGCTGACCGTCTCCGAAAAATCGCTTGACACGGGTCACTGTAATAGTGCTCGGAACGAGTCGCACCGTTCACCCGAAGATCCATGGCAATCATTGAAAGCTTCTTGATGTAGTCTGATATTCATCACTAACGGGGATAGCGGATCTTGCGGGTGGATGTCATGTGGAAGTTGCTGTGATGTCCTGTTACTTGACTCATTCGACTGCTTACATTGTTATCTCTGTTCATTTGCTCTGTTCATTTGACTGCTCGTGGTGGCCGAGTTACCCTGATGGAAAAAGATGTGAAGTTGTGGAGCCATTTAGCTTATTTATTTGGTAACACATTATTCGCTCCCCATGAAGATCGGGAGACTAATTAGCGTTATTGATTATTGGCTTTAAGTTTGTCTACCATATGTGTTTGTTTAGGGCTTGGTTGTATTTGATTGTTAGTTAAATTATATATTATCATGTCTGGCAGAGGCAAAGGTATTCGTGGGCTTGGCAAAGGCGGGGCTACGCGTCATTCTCGTCGTCTTCTGGATAGTGATGATGCATTCAAGGATAAATTGAAGACAGGAGCTATTAAGAAATTAGCTAGAATAGCTGGTATCAAAAGGATTGGTCGTAACGTTTATGATTCCACTCGCGATGTTGAACGCGATGTAACGTACTACGAATGACGTGGAACAAGTACTACTTAGTTACTCGGGTTCGTGTTCGTGATGTTTTGCGTTCGAGTGAGATTCGGTTTGTACGTTTCGAGCTTCTCTACGTCTAGTGCCATCATTAATAACTCGCTTTCTCCGCTTCAGAGTCCGTATCCCGAAGATGAGGGTTGCTGTGCTCTCACAGCCGACTTTCACCTTTTCGTGTCGATCCAACGAGTTCCTCGCCCTAAGCGGTGTTCCTGCATATCGTGTCGGCTCTTCAGCGAAGATTTTCGTAATATACTCTTAGCCGACTCCTCTCAGCTCCCCAATGGCAGCTATAAACGTGAGTTTTCGGGATGTTTTGATTTGGTTTTGTTCGGTTTCGGAGTGTTAAGTGAATGAAGGTGCTCGGGGATTTATTCTGTTACTCACTGTCAGGTTCTCTTCGCACTCTTACTAAACGTGGTGCCTCCGAGGATGTCACTGTTGACGAGTACGACGGTATTTACAAGAGGAGAAATGCTCAATACAATTCCCTAGATGGATCTACTACTACTGGTGATGCCTTTACCACTACACTTCAGTATCGCTTCATGTTGCGTTATGTCGAGTACCGAGTACTGCGTCAGGAGGCGTGTCATTTGCCAGTTTATAAATTGAGAGTCAAAGGGGAGGAGTTCTGGTCAGATTTCCCGCGATTGGTCAGTTTGCTCTGTGCCCAGTCAGGGGGTCGATACATTGATCCTAAGAGATCAGCATCAGCGTATTGCAATAGATACCGTATGCTCATTGGCCATTACGGACTCGTTAGTCGTGTTGGGGGAGTTGTCGAGATCATCGTTCAACACAACCATAGGAGAGAAATCAAACCTTAATCTTACTTAATTGATCATGCTGCTACGAGTTAGTATGGAGCAAAACGGTCGGGCGGGCGACGACCAAAGATATGAGGATACTGGCCGCCCCCAAATGAATACAGCAACTTGTTGCTGATGATATACAGCTCGAATAATCGACCGTAAAATTAATAGCAGCAAGAAAACATATACGAGAATCACATGTCCTGAAACACACATGGAACACCGAGAACACTACAACTGAATGGAGCATCACCCTTGTAGGCTTCATGGAGCACTGCCGTAACTTCTGTCCACACGTCACATTGATCGCACTGTAGCCATAGACCAGTAGAATCCTTGATGGGGACGACCGACCTTGCAACCAAGAGCTGCCCTTCCTTGTCGCCACCCTCGATCATGAAGTGTCGCATTGCAGGAAACTGCTCTGACTTGACAGTCGGTATGTCTCCCGAGACTGGGAAGACGGCAGAAGTAGTCGTCGGCTGGCTCTTATCTCGTCCACAATAGGCGTCTAACTGCTCGTCACTGAGAACTGCAAACTTGACATTAGAAATATGCACTT